CTCTTTCATGTTTTGATAGTAGATGATTCACAATCCAATTGATGCAGCATTCTAGTTTAAATCCTATAAAAATATATCATTCTGCTCTTGCTTGCCTATACAGATTTATTTCCAAGCATAAAGTTATAAAAATGAAAGGCAAAGCATGTATGTGGTTTCGGAACCAATCTTTTTCCCCTTCAAAACTCCACAAGGTTGCATTTGCTCCCAGAAAAAAATACTACTATTAATGCCGCTGCCTGCCTTGAGTCAATCATGCATTTTTCTCTCTCTGGAGACTGGGATCTTTCTGGATATCTGGATGAGTGCTGAGGATTAAATCCTTTGCAGCCCAGATCATAATGCCAGTCCAAAAGCTCACTTTTAGTACATAAAAGTCATGCGTGTGAGAACCAATCACAGATTTGCTCTCATTGTTTCACTCTTCCTTTGGCCACTTTCTGGTCTTGCATCTTGGTCTTCTCTAATGTAATTCAGAGAAATTGGCCACTTTGGTGGGCAGTAGTAATATCAAGATGGTTTCTCAGCATCAATTCTGATTGGACAAACAAAGGGCAAAGCACAGGAAATCTAATTTTTTTTTTCTCCATTGTAGTTGGACTATCTGACTTGATGTCCTTTCAGGTCCGGTTTGGATGCACGTTTCTTGTTCCTACAACTAACATCTGAAGTACAACCAAGCAAAGTTTCAATTCAATCATGGCTTCTTTATCAAGGAAACCTTAAACCAGTGCTTTTGCCATTCAAGATATTTATATTGTTTCACTGAAGGCTAGAGAGCAATATTGTGCCTCTTTCAATCCTACTTGTTCACAGAAACACAGAAAAGCTCCCCTTCCTGGACCAAAACCATGTCTATACATTATTAAATATCGGTTTTCTTATTCATATTTATACACTGGCAAGATTATATGATGCTATATCACTTTTGCAGTTATTTTTTTCTAGTTTGCTTCTCTTTTTAAATATTAGTTTATTGGCTTCACACATTTCTTCTGTTTGTGGAAGAAATTAGGATTCAGGGAAAAAACACACTGGAAGATGGTGAATGTTGACAATTTCTTCTGCTCGTTCAACTGCATTCTTAAGGGCAGTTTTGGGCGTTGGGGCTTGGGGAGGTTACTGTTCATCCCCTTCTTATATCTATGGGATCATCTCATTTAAGAAGTTCTGCCCTGCACAAATCTAGATGTAGCTCACTTTTTAAAAAAATCATCCTTTTAAAACATTTAAACTTAGATATTCAATGTTTTCAGTTTTTAGAAAGAAAATTAAAGAAGGAAATCCACTACAAATATCAAGCTCCTGTGAACATTCACTCACTAGTTAGTTTAATGTTTGTTTTGCAACAACCATCTGAACAGCCAACATAACCAAGGGATATTTTGTACTCATTAACATTTTCTCATGTCCATAATTTATAAAATTAGAATTGTACGTTTCTCATTTTCATCTGGCATTGTTATATTGTCGTGAAGGAAACAATGAATTATATCCTTATGCCCAAACAGCACATCACTGTGATCTGCCCAAAAGGCTGACTTACCCAAGCACTCTTATGTATTTTACTTAAAAGAAAAAAGGCTGTTGATCAAAGCTTGATTTCCACTAAGAAATGGAATCATTCTTTATCAGATCTGCCTTACTTTACCTTCAAGAAGCTTGAAACACATTAAACTGAGAGGCCCGGCTAACTAACTCAAAACTCTTCAGGCTCAATTACCTAGTTCAATTACATTAAACGGGCAAGGAGATCTGATTAACTAGAGTAGATGGATGTTGACTATAAAATTTAAATAACCGCTGATAGAAAAAAGGAAATGGCTGTTTGAAACGGGCCTTTATTCTCTCAGACATTTTTCATAGAAATTGGACAGAATGCACCTGTGTGAGTGTCGGTGAGATTCAAACTGTGCTAGTGCTGGAAATGAAAAAATTGAGACACTGAGGTTGTTTGGTTTTATGCCTGGGACTGATGTTGCTTTGAAGCTCACACTGTCTGTTCATCCAGAATGCAACCCTATAAATCTCTTATCTTGGTTATCTCTAAATAGAGAGATCTTTATTACAACATAGTAAAATCTCCATTGTTGCTCCCGCTGGACTCTGGTTTCAATCAGAATTAAATTCATTCCAATAAGCTCATGCTGCAGCTAATCTGTTGTGAACCTCACTATCCTTGTGTGTTATGGCTGCACAAACTTTATTGGCTGCCTGCGACCCCCAACCTTTTGAATGTAGCTGCCAGAATGCTTTTCAAAGCTGCTACTGAACTGTAATACTTAATGAGTTGAGAAGAAAAAAGTATGAAATATTTGGAGAAGCCGGGGGGGTGGGGGTGGGGCAATAATTATAGGAACTATAATTAGTTTGTTTTGGTCCTGATTTCACCTTAAAAACCTCATTCCCTTTTTAGTCAGCACAATACTCCAATTGCAAGTCTGGTTCTCATCCTATAAAAATAAGAATGCCTATCTCTACATAGACATTTTTAATGCTTAGTTTTAGGGGTTTTAAAAATGGATTTATACAGTTAATATTGAGAAACCCTTAACCTAAATGTGATCTTCTAATATTATTGGGTATATTTTGCCTCATTTTGTACAGGCGTACTGGAAAATTCTTGCTCCATGGTGCTGCCTTGTAGCGTAAAGGATTGAGAGACAAATGAGGAAAATTGCTCAAAATTGGACAGAGGAAATCCCATTCATGGAAACCTACCCACTTTTCAGCAATCCCCTTATCAGCCACTTCTACCATAGCCTGCTGTATTCATCAACAGCCTCCAACATTTAAGAATAGTTTGGCAATGGAGCTGCTGCAAGGAAGAACATGTAGTAAATCATCTTTCACCTGGCTCCTTCCAACAGCATTTCTTTGGATTCAACCCACGGTATATTATCCTAGTTCAACTTTTTTCAGCACTGAATATTGTTTGAATTCCAATACTCTTAAGATGAAACTGAAACAGTATGCACATTGATAATTGATGATGATGATGGAAAAACTGGAGAAGACCACCCAGAGCATTCTAAGGATCACAAGAAAATGGTGATTTTTGACACTTTATGAACTGACCTCATCTACAGAAAGGTGTTTATTCATTTGAGGTAATATGCTGCAACATTAAAATTTAAAAAGTTATTTTTATTAGATACCAAAAGTAATGTGCCTTTTCTGCCTCATTCTGTTGCATGTTTTCAGTGAATAACTGATACATTCTTAAAAGAACTTTGAACTGCAGTCCAAAAGGCCATTGTTTTAAGGTCTTTCCTTTATAATCATATGTTTAAGGTAATATACTATTCATACTATTTATTATTTGCATCATGTGCACAACAGATATCTACGCTGGGTTCAGGTCATTAAAGGATTGGTTTATTCAGAAATATTTGTTCTCTGTGCACCATCCTGTGCTGGCAGGAATGGTGGAATAAGCCATCTGAGACAGAACATTTTCACCATCCTGTATCCACTCAAACATAATACTTTCAGCCTGATGACAGTGTAGCAATAAAGATGAAGTGTTCGGGTTGGTGCAGGAAACATTCAATGGATCATTTTCCATTGTCTTCTATGAAGTGTTCCAGCTGCATGCATCGGTGTTCCAAATTACCTTCTCAAAACACTGACTCACTCATTAATTAAAAAAATAAGTAAAAAGAGACCCAGCAAGTTGGCTTTAGATGCAATAAACCAGTTCTGAATTTTCTTCAGATTTCTGCCAACCAAAACGATGCCACACATTAAAATCTGTAAGAAAGATGATATCCTAGAAGGCTGCAACTTCTCAGAAGTCTTCTTCTCATACTACTTTTGAAAAGCAGAGATGAAGTTACCATACCCATGAGAAAAAAAAAATAATTGGAAAAAAAAAGTTGGAAAATAAGCACTTGGCCTTCCATGATGGAACAGTTAGAGCAAATGGGAGAGTTTGTATTGCAGCTCTCCAAGGAAGAGGCACGTAGTAGAATTAAAACATTTTGTTGTGCAGTTTGGGTCCAGATGTGATTCCAGATGTTAGCACACTGAACTTTCTCTAAGCGAATAACATTAGAATTCAACCCCCTTTATATGAAAATATGATTTCTCTGACCTGCATTCTGTTACGCAGTTTTGCCAGATTTGTCTTGCTTGCATTATCTATTACATTCTTCTTAGCCTTGGGGTGAAGTTGTGCAAATCCTTCAGTGGAAGCTGGTTATTTTTTTGAGATGCAGCACACATTGTCCACTTCTTTTTGGTCTGAAGGATAAAAGCTTAACAATTCTTTTTTTAAAAAAATATTTTCTTAAGAAAGTAACTTTTGTAGCTTTTTTGCATAATCATAGCCTAGACACAATCCTGATCGCAGGCATGTTTTTCAAAACAAAGAGATGGGGCTGAGAATTTACTGTCTTCAAATTTATATCAGCAGCAGCACTATGCTACCCAGTCTGATAGAGTCCAGCAGCCCATGCAATGAAAAAGTAAAATGGAAGCATTCATCGACTGTCACCTAAACTTGCCCAAAATATTAGTGATGATAAAGTCATCATTTTTTTCAGTGGTTGGTCTCATATATCCCAGTTTCCGAACAAGCCCTGATAGCCTGGTTCACTCATACAGCTAAACAAGAACTGTGGTTTATAAACCACAATGGCTAGGTCCACAGATGATGTTAAACTGAAATGACGCTAGCCACATTTTAGCCTGGGTTCAATGTGAACCCAGCCTAAACTGTTAGTTCTTAAGGGATCCCAAATATTAACTAGTTAGCTGCTGACTGGTCACAAAATGAGAGTGTGAAACTCCGAGAAAGGAGGAAACCCACATGCTTCACAATGCTTAAAAAGGGAAGGAGGTTCTGCTGAAGATGAAGCTGTATTTGATCCTCTGTTTGCTAGTTTCATGTATCAGAAGGACTTCAGTATGCATGATCAACAATAACACCTGGAGAACTCTTATGCTTTCAAATGAAATCAGCTACAGTAAAAACAAAACAAAACTTACTTCTTCATAAGTTTTGAAAGGTTTATTTCACCTAACTTCATGTGCTGTTGCATATTTATTTTGCTATTCAGTATACAAGATTTATTTATCTTTTTTTTTAAAAAAAGAATGTTTCACAAAGGCACAGCATAAAGTTCTTATCAAACTTCCTTGAAAGATATTTATCCTATTAAATCTTTTGCACAGTTCTGGATCAGTTAAAAATACAGTAACAGTGGTTTTGTCCATTGGGTAAAGCACTTCTGAGTGTATATACAGGCAGAAGAATAAAACCCAGTAACCTCAGACAACACAAAGTTAAACCAGTTCTATGCAAATCAGGAGAGGCTTCATTCAGAAGGCTATAGCTACAATCTTGCAGACAATTAAGGTGGCCTCAAATCCCACTGACTTCCATGTAGCTTTCATGTTTTCAGACCAGAGTGGAGGACACCTTGCTGACTGTAGCCCCTTAAGGGTTCTGTACAAGGCCCAATATTAGGACAGCCTCTTTGGCCATCTCATCCATTGGCTTCAAATGAACAAAGAGAGGTAAAACAAACACACAAAATCAAAGGACTTCTATTGGAAATCTGCCAGCACAACAATTTCTACTGAATACACTTTTTTCAGTTCCTCCTGTACCTGCTCTGGAGTTCCCCAGCCATCCAGAGTAGATTTGGAGAGGGTTGTAAAAGGGAGGAGAACTGCCCTTCTTTCCCTCCCCTCCCCTCCTCTCCAGTCATCAGTGGAAGAAAAGAATTGCACTTTTCCCACTGACCAAAAAAAAAAAAAAAAAGTCAAGGTCTAAACAACCCCACTAGTGCTTGACCAAGAACTATACATTTGAAACCAAAAATCTACCTAGTTTAGGAGTCTGAACTGGGGTGCTCAGCATGATTAGATCATCATCATTTGGTCTTTGCTCACCCCAATAGGAACAACTCATTTCTAGCCCTGGATTTTGAGTGAGAATGTCTCTGCCTCTGTAAAGGTAATAGGAGGATAGGATCACTGTTGACTATAAGTGACAGCATTCTGGCTGTGGGCCTGGATCATGGAGCCCCTGTGGGTATACTACTTCCGTTACTAGACCCTGTCTTCCAGTACTGATTCCCCCCATCCATAGCTTCCACTCAGCGAAAATAAATAAAGGTGGTTTGAGCCCCATCACTCCTCTCTGCTCTCTAAAAGGCTCAGCTGCTGCACTGTCTTCTGTTGTTCTGGTCAAAGCAGCTGCCCAATCAGGGAAGCCTATCTACAAATTATCATACTTTTTTCTAACTTGGTCAGTTAAACACCCAACCTTTCTTTTCCCGCACTCAGTCGTGACCGATTCTGCGGCAACCACCGGGACGAGTCCCTGCAGTTTTCATGTCTTAAAGAAGTTTTCACCCAACTTCTTTACTGAATACAAATCAACCAGTGACACTGGTATAGCATCTTCAGAGCATATGCTGCAATATATGTACAGTATACTGCAGTGCACGCACTGCTCCTGCATAAGCATTTACTTGGCTGGAGTTAGATTCGTGCATATGTAAAACTGGACCCATTAATTAAAACAAAAGGAAAGCCCACAGATACACAGAAACTCCACCTTACAATCACAGCTCCCATGCCTACCAGATACTGACGGGATATGATGACTACTTTCTTTTATGTTCCTTACAGGAATTGAAGGGAAGAGGCAGAGGTATACCTGAAAATGTTGACCCTTATATTTCTAATAAATTTGAACCCACTTCATTTAAAATATTCCAGATTGGTTTGTATCCATCTTTGTCAGACTTAGAGGCTCCACGGTCAACATGAAAAATGCTTTGCAATTCATGATTTTTTCCCAAGATTTAGACTGTGTTTGTTGGTTGCATTTAAGACAACAGAATATGATAAATACCGTATGTACATGTTTTGAAGCAACAAAATGGCTGCAAAATGACAACCCAGTCATGATACAAACTGCTGAAAAAATACAGAACTTTCTTTGATTTCCTTCGTACAAAATAATTGCCCAATTTGTCTACACAGTAGAAGTTGAAGAGGCAAAGTTGATCTATCTCCAGATATATTCATATGCAGAAAACATATATACAAGTACAGATCTAACTAGGGCATGATTGATCCCATTAAAATCTCAACCAGCATCTTTCTGAATGTTTTAAATCCAGAGGTTGAAGCTTAACATTTCAATGGTTGGGTGTCACCAGCTCCAGTATATAAGCACTCACATGCTAAGATATGCTAATGCATGTGGACACAAGAAACAAATTGAAACTCATTGCATTCTTCAAGAACAACCATCCTGCCAAAAGTCACTGCTGCTCATGGAGTCATCTACTTGAAATAATATATTGGTGAGAACTGAAACAGTCTTCTGTAATCACCCATACAGCTTTTCAGGTTTAAAAGCAACATTTTCCATGTCGTGAAAGCTTTTTCCATTTAAATGTTCACTGGTGCAGTCGTGGTTATAACTGAAGCTTTGGCCATCAGTGATGGAGGAAGAAGCTGTATAGGAAGCTGATCGGAGACCATCGGAGTGAGCAAAGCTATGCTCAAACTGGATCCTGTACTGATTCCAGTGCCTCCGTAGGACAGACTGGACCTATTTCAGGGAAAAGGGGAAAAAAATATAAATATAAATATATATACAGTGTGTGTGTGTGTGTGTGTGTGTGTGTGTGTGTGTGTACACACACACACGTTAAAGGGGGAGAAAAGAAGTTCAGTATATGTTTTCTTCATCTTATCTTCTGGGTCAACAATTGCATATCACTGGTCAAGACTCAAACCTATTCAGCGTTTTTTTCCCTTCCCAGTGAGAGCAAAGGAAGAAAACAGGGCTGAGCAACTAGGGTATATAAAGGCAAGAAGAGATCTCTCAAAAAGACAAGCAATAAGGAGAAAAACATATACAATATCTTTGCATTTCTAGATGGTTCATTTGGTCATTCAAGTAATTTAATGCCACACAAATTGTGGAGTAAGCTTTCTTAAGCAGGTATTAATAACTATTAAATCCTGATCCATATTTCTATTTTCACTTTTCATTTCCACAGCACTGAGACCTGAATAGCTGAAGTCTGTAATAGTTGTCTTTGACAGAGTGAGGAGGGTTAAGCTACTCCCACTTTTGATACTCTGTTCCCTTGCCATGGGTCACTCTCCTTGAGAACTTTATGGCCCCAAAGATACAGCAAAAACCATTAATTGAACTTTAGTTCATCCCAGCTCTTTCTGTAATAACCGAGAGAGCCCTTGATCTAGGTCCTTACAGACACAGAAACCTGCATGAAATGACTGCCATTTCAAATAAAAGGAAAATGTTACAAAATATTTTTCCAAAATAGTAGCTGTATTAATCCGTTGCAAGAACAGCAAAGAATCTTGGGGCAGCACAAAAGATTAACATATTCATTATAGAAGAAGCTTTCATGGAATTTGGACCACTTGATTAAACACAAGTGTTTACTGTTGCAACCAAAGATTAAAGTTAATGAAGACAGAAGGAATTAGAAAGCAGGAGAAAGCATCATTCCAAAACTGATAATTACCTATCACAGTATCATTCCAGTTCTCCCTTGGCCAAAGAGAAAATGGGTTCTGTGGATAAGTGTTATATTTAGCCTTGAAACTACTGGGCTGCAAGGAAGAATCTCTGGATGAAAGGTTGCTTGAGAATCCATGTATACTTCTCTGAGCAACCATAAGGGTGGGGAAATTACAAAAGTAATAAATATTTTATAACACTACTGATCAATTTTAGATGCTCAGCAGCATGTGAGACAGTGTATTTTTGTTGGCTTAATCCTACAGGAGTTTTCAGTTGACAAACCTGATTCATATTTCCATCAGGCTGGTGGAAAAACTGTTTCCTGAATAGAGTTCACCTTGGTTAAAAATATGCTGGATAATACAAATGAAGGCACATAAGGTCTGAATTTGTTTACCCACTTCTTTGGAAGGATGTTCTGTTTTACAATAGTTTCCGTACATACAATGTGGTAAGCCACCTGTGCAACAGGAAGTTTGATTTACTAGAGGCCTTGATGAAATGTGAATGGAATTCATCGCCTCCAAGAACAGTTGATACCAGAGTGAAAGATCGCAAAATCTGCTCAAAGGTTAAAAGATGTTGAAGGGAATCTTGTGGTTAAAAATCATCAGCTCCTGATCAATGTTATCATAATAGTAAAACACAACATCAGTATCCCTCTATATTAATTATAGCATTTTGTGCAAAATAGTTCTGGAGACAAGAGTTACAAAGAAAATCTGTAAGAGGGAGACATTGTTAAGAAGTTTCCTTTCTGTGCATTTCCTTAACTTATTTTTAGGACCTAAAATATAGAAATCCAGGAATCAATCTACCTAGTGGGAACAGGCCTTAGGAAGTAGTATTTTTCTTCTGTTAAGTGCTGATGAGACGGTAGGAACTATACTTCCTGTTTGAATACTGATTTTCCATCTGATGCTGACATCTACTATTTTATCCTGTGCTACTAAGCTGTGATTGCTTATGAACAAGCAATCACTACCCTGCTGCTCTGACTATACACAGGACGGTTTGCATGGTGGGTATCAACTCTCCATGCTGAATGTAAGATTTTCAGTAGGCTGAAAAACTTTTCTGCAACTGTATGGAAGCACTACAGTAAAAATCGCAAACAAGTGGATTGCCATGTAAAGTGATCTTTGTTTTGCTCATCTTCAAATGTCAATCTGGCAGGCATTTCAGCTATAATGTTCACAAACTTTTAGTGGGATCCCTGGTATGACTCAAAATTCCAGTGGTTTCAAAGCATGCTGTTTTTCTCAAAGAATAAGATCTTTAGAAGTTAGAAATAACTGCAAGTCACTAAAATATAAAACATTATCTCTTAAATATAGAACCTTCAGTATAATTGAAGAGCAAATCCAAATGGAGAATTCAAGATAAACAGGATTTAAATGTGGGTGGATTGACTGAAATTGACGAAGTAGAAAATGCATTTTGAAATTTGTATATTTCTGAATAAGCATAACTTAATAACTGGTTTCACTTCAGCTACAATGGACTGAAGTGAGCTATATTGTCCAGAACACAGTCTCCAAACTGTACCTTTCCACTTTCCCTTGGCACTGCTTAGAAACAAGAGACAGATTATTGTTTGGCTATCATCTTTATACATGTTCAAGGATATTGAGCCAGATCACTTTTTTTGAAAGATAACCAATGTAACCATTTTCCCTAAAAAAGACTTACTGAGACTGTACAAGGTAAAGTTTCACCATGACTATTTACCAATAAAACCATTCTGATGTTAAGACAATCCATTTCCCCTGAGAGAGGAAAACAGACAAAAAGCTTATAAATAGGAATGTGGTGCAATACAGATTTGAAGCCAAAACGATACTGTACTTGAGGATGCTGTGGGTGTGCAAATCTCAGCTATCAGCATCTCCTTAAAGAAGCTGTGTCTTTTTCTGGACAGGTGTGAACTAAGGAGCCACTGTCAGAATGCGACAAGGTGCTTAAGAGCAGGCGTGGGCATACTGTTGGCAGCTCAACACAAACGCATATTTTCTTGGGATCACATGTCGCTATGCAAACCCAGGAAAAGCAAAGCTTTCATGGCTTGCGTGCACACAAACACACACACACTTTAGTTGCTTTTCAACTGCAGTGTCTTCCTCTATTACTGCATTCTTGGTGATAAAAATGAACCCTTCCCCATTCACAATAATTATTTGGAGAATAACAATTTTCTTTCATGACGTGAATCATAAAGATTTAGACTTTGAAAACTAATCAACATGTTGTAAGGGTCTTCTAGTCTGAGACCATGAAATACAACTGCAAAATCAGCCATGCGTAGATTCCATGGATAATTCTGGCTTAAAATTTAAAATCCTTTTTTTTTTTTACTTCTAAGAAAGCCATTTATTTTATTTAGTGCTTATATCTGAGAAAGATGTTTTTCCCCTTTCAGCTACAGATAAGAAATGATTCCAGACAGAGAGTTCAGTGTGACTCATTAAAAGGTATGGTGCATTCTCTTTGATAATTTTCTGAGGAGTGAAAATGACTGAAGCAGCACTGGGGGAAAAAAGGATGGTTAAAAGATAATGGAAGACTGTCATCTATCTCTCTCTTAAAATCCCATGAAGGATGCAGGGTGATTTAACTCTAATCTGGAATCATCCTAAAACCTTTTTCTTTATTACTGCAGCTTTAGCTACTTTTAGAACCTCCAGCACAGCTAGGTTTCATACCAACAATCCAACTCATTCATAAAAAGAGATATATAAATGAATTACTGTACCTCTCCATTAAAAAAACAGAAAATTGTTGCCACCAGCAAGCCCTGCAGAGTAAAACAGAAAGTTACTACTTGCCTGACATACGTTTGTGTTTGATGAACACCCAAACAAGGCATTCCCTCTGAAGTCATTCCATGGCTATGTTTTTTAGCAAATCCCAGAATCCCAACTCATGCCATTCCAGAGGGACCTTCCTTCATTCTCAAAAATGGTTTAGAGGAGGTGTGACAGGCAGCTGGAAGTCAGCGGGGGCATTATAGGTCATAACTATCATTTGATTCATTCCTCTTTTGGTCCATCCTAGTTAGTCCAATTTAAATAGGACTGAAACAAGGGGGTTCTAAAATACCTCCCTGCAAGTGATACCTTCAGTGCATCAGTTCTCTGCTGACTGACTGCAGCTTTGATGTTATTTAATCTGAAAATTGTTCTTCTCTTTTCTAATCATGCTTTCCTTTGACTTTGCATTGGAGGCTCTTGTGTGGGCATTCCATAGCCAAATGTTGTTGGCTAAGAAAAATGTATTAGAAGGAGTTCTGCCAAAGCAATAACTACAAAGTTTACAAGGAACTCATTCTGGTGCATGATTACAAAACATCAGGCATTGGAAAGAGCCTCTCAAGGGCTAGAGGCTGGCTACAAAAAAGACATTTGCTCCCTTTCATATCCCTTGAAAAATGGACAAACTAGCACCTTTCATGAAGGTAAAAATCACTGAATGAATTGTCCTCCCACCCATTCCTGCATTATCCTCCAGTTCTTAATATGAGAAATCTGACCAAAATACGTATTTCAAGACTCCCAACTGCTGCTTGGATAAGAAATTGATTAAATTACTCATTTTGTTCAGGCTCCAAGCACTATGAATTGCCAACACTTCTTCACCCATGATACCTGATAGTGCATCAGGATATGTATCACGTAGTTGAAAATCTCTGCAGCAACGTGATCTTCTGGCTGCCATGGAAACAGCACAAATTCAATGCCAAGCAGTGGCACCAGTATGAGGGTGGCTCTGACTGCCTTCATGTAGAGATTGGATTCCGCCTGGTGGGTGACTTTTAATTTAGTGATTAGAACACGGACAATGTTCAACAGGAAAAAGAGATTCACCTATGAGGGGAAGAAGAGTATTCTGTTAATGTTTATGATTTTGTTTTGCAGATCATATGCCACACTTCCAAATCAAAACCCCAAAAGTATCTGAGTTGGGGGGAGGAGAGTGGCTGAGGTGGCAGGAACAAGGTGCCCAAATCCATTGTGAAAAACCAAAAGATGCAAGTGTTTAAAATAGCTTGTTACAATGCATTTGGTAATATTAACCATACTGTATGTTCAAAGACCGTTTTATTGAACAAGTGGATAAATGATTGTTTGTATAGTTTTATTATATTTTCCAAGATAACAATAATTAGAGTCGTTTGCTCCATTTACATCAGTAAACAATGAAAATTCAGAAAAGGGGCCTGGAACATCCCTGGGTAGATCAGACCAATCCTATCAAAACCCAAAATCAGCCAAAGGTTGGCTTGGGAATCCAGGGGAAAAGGAAAAGCGCCCAATCTTTCTGTTAACATTGACAGGCTATTTTTAAAAAATTATTCTAACTATTGTTAATCAATTTTATACTGCTTTTCACAAAAGAACGTTATCTTGAAGTAAGGAGCAACAAATTAAAAGTTATCTGCATCATATATAGAATAACTACTAGACAGATAAAACTCCAAACCTTCACACTCAATATTTACAAGCAAACTGGTCAAATATCTTGGAGTTATTCTGGATCTACTTATATGTTGTGCTATTTCCTCCCTCTATTTTTCCTTTTCCTCCTGTTTTTAAATTGCATATTTATGTTAGTAGTTATCTTGATTATTTAAAGCGCATGGCTTAATAATATGTAAACGTATCACACTTAACACTTGGATTTTTTGATTTGTTAAGTTATTATGTTGCTAGAGTTATTGTTATTTCCTTTTTTGTATTTAAACATATAAGTTATGTAAGGACCTATTCTGAGTAGCATGCTCTTTCTTGACATTTTATAATTAGAATTCTCCTCTGTTCCCTCCATATACGGAATAGTCCTAAGAGACATGAATTTCATGAAAATTTGAGCCTTTTGACTCACTGCAGTAGCATGAAGCTATTTTAAGAACAGTCTCCAGGAAAATAGAATAAGAAACCTATACCTCCCAAGGAAAAGCAATCCCAGTTCTCAAAGTACGGGTTGAAGGAGGCTGCTACTGTGGAATGGTACCCAGTGATTATGCCCGAGTTCCTCTCAATTCTTTTCTCTTAGGAGACAACAGCCTTATTCCGGGGTTTGCATGAATGTGTGAAAAGCTTAACCTCATTTGGGAACATGACCATGCACATAGTCCCAGCCTCTCTTCTCTTCAGCCTCCACACATTCAGCTAGAAGAGGACAGTTCTATTTGTGTTGACATTAATGTGACTACAGCTCTCTGTGCAAGAATAAAATAGAGAGACTGGTTCATGCTGATAACTAACTGCATCAAGTCAATGCAAATACAGTCTCCTCCTTTCCAGATTCAGTGGAGGCTGAAGAGAAGCTGGGTAGGACTAAGTGCATGGTCCTGGTCTCTTTGCATTTTGTATTTTCTACTGATTCACAATCACTCCTGGTAGAGAGTGTAGAGTCTCAAAAGACTCTGGGCAGCAGCAAATGTCATATGTGATCATCATGCATTTCTGTGAATATTGTTCACCAAATGGTGTACCTGTGCGTTAATCATACAAACTCCAATTCCCCTGATATTTGCCAGATTCTTTACCAATCAGCAGCTAAGGGATAAATTACTGTAACCCAATGCTTTCTTTAGAAATGCAGCTTTCTGCCAGGAAAAAAAAAAAAAAGAGGGAAACTGGGATAGTAGAAAGCATCCTGGGGAGGAAATGGCAGGGCACAACTTGGCCAATTTGTTTCCTGGAGAATGAGCACTTTATGACTAGCCACTAGTGGCAACTTTGGAATAAGTACGCCTCCCCTAATGCTAGCCGTTTGGGAAGAACCCTCATTGCATGAAAATCTCAAAGATGCACACAAAACAGAAACATTGGTCTACTCCTAGTATAATCTTTGACATCAATTCTTAGCCTGCAATCCTGGAATTGAATCCCGTTAAATATACTGGAACTTATAATGCATTTGATAGCAGAACTGTCAATGTTTGACCTTCTCTCATCATGTTCATTGACCTTTTCTACACCTTTTCCAATACTATAATATCATTGTTCAGTGGGTAACCAGAATCAGATGAAGTATTCAGGAATGTAACTGTATCAACTTATATGTGCTACTTACTATTGCTCATTTACGATAATCTCTTGGATGCTTTTATACTACAGGAAGCCAAAACAGCATCCAGTATTCGGTATTAAAGCCAGTCATTATGCAACAAGCTGTTTTAGTTTCAGCCTCTTTCCTAATGAACACGAGCAACAGCTGAGGCCCAGAATCTGATGAGGAAAGTGCTTCTTTCCCAAACAGGTGAAGGGTGGAAGTTTCAAAAGGCACTTGGGTGGCTGTCTTGACTTCAGGCAAACTTTTTCAGAAGACACACTGTTGCTAGAAAGGAGGATGAGACCCCCTGTGCAAGCTTATGAGAAAACTGTTGATGAGACTTCGGCACACTTCTTGTGAATGCCACTCCTCCACAAGTTCCAGCCAAGACCTTTGCTGTCATATCTGCAGTGTCTGGTGACTGAGCATATACCTTAATACTGTGCCAAGATTGCTTTTTCCATTTCTCCGAAGTTTTCTTTTTCACCTGAGGTCTTTTCCTTTTGTACTTCATTTTCTGGGTGGTTTTTCTAATGCTTTTGGAGGTATTTAGAAGGTTGTGGTGTTATAATGGCCAAGGATGGTGGTGGTGGTGGTCCTGTTTTCCATTACAGGCCTCTCCATCATTCTGCAACCCCCCCCCCCAAACTGTCTTTGCTTCCTACTCATGGAAGCAGTTCCCTCAGGGTCCCCTCCCTGGGGCTGGATGTGAAAAGTGGAAAGCTAGGAAGGTTTCAGAGTGCTGGAGAGATGCCTTTACAATGGCAGTGGTAAGGCATATACAGTGAAAAACAGGCCATCCTAAGGACAAGAACCTTGCCCCCCACCAGTTTTGTTTTTGCAAAATGTTTTTCTCAGCAGGGCTGGGAAAAAAACGGAAGAACTATCATTTGAGCATGAGTATAAATGGTAACCATATACTTCTTAAGCATCACCGTGCTGATATTTGATAACCAAGGAGGCGAGGGAGACTGGTAGAAGTAGCACTGCTCAGCAGGAACGTTATCAAACCTGCTGGACTCTGCTGGAGCACCTTATCCTGCTCCATGCAGATGTTAATCTGTCCCAGTGGCCCAATAGTACAGATATACCACTGTTTGGATTCCAGCCAATGAAACAGACTATCATAGCACTGACACCAAACACGGACACACACAACTTCACCCCACAAGAAATTCCTACCCTCAGATGTAGATGACCATATCTGATGTACTTGTTGTTTAGTTTACTTCCATTTAAATAAAATATATTAGTCCTTACAGATTGAGAAAACTTAAAACCAAAGAAGTTCTTTAAAAAAGAGATTGTCTTAAAAGTTCATACCAAAAGAGCAGCGCAAATCGGACCGTGGATGATGTACAGCAGATGAGTCTCTGAACTGATCCAGCAGCTACAGAATATTAAAATGAAAGCAAAATAGAGTTAGAGAGGAATAATCATTCTGTCCTCTCTCTCATAAGAGATGTTCTTAAAAAAAAAACTCTTTCAAAGACAGGAGATGACTTACTTGTCATTGAAATATATGCTTCTGGCTACAGCATGTATGCAGGAAGGTATCAATGGGAACCCTGTAAACAGCAAACGATGGGTTTCTTACTGAGACATCTCAACTGTGGGAGTGCAGAAGCAAGAGATGGTGTGGTCTTTGCCAGGACACTCACACAGACCACTAGGAAACATCACCCTTCCCTCTCAGCAGATGGAAGACCAGGCACTTTGAGAGAAGGGCTTCAACTGACCGGCAGCAGAGGGCAGAGTGATGGAAGAACCTCTCTCTATAAGCAAGGGAAGAATCCCCAGACCCAAATGGAAATAAAGGCCTTTTCCATGTCATACTAATCTTCTTCCTCTATCTCCCCCTGCCTTGATCCCCAAATCTCCTTCCCTTATGGGCCCTTGCCTAATTAATCTTTTAATTGCTTTTGACTGAAAAACTCATGTAAAAATATAATGAAATAAATAGATAATCCAGTATTGCATCTGTATTCACTCAGCCACCCTTTTCAAATATCACTAACCACTATGTACCTTCAGAACAATAGCATTGGCCATGCTGGCTTTGCTTCAACCAGCTCCATGTTTAGATGGAAAAGCACACATCTTTCTTCGTTCAGGATGCCTAGCTACTGACATACCCATGGAGAGCAAAAGGCTGTAACTAGGCTGAAAGAATGGTATGCTGCTACATAAACTAATCCAGGGGTGGGCCACCCTTGGCCCATAAGGTGCATAAGGCTCCTGGCCAAATTTCAGCAGTAATCAAAGGGACATTTTTGAGCAGGAAAGTAAAAAGTGTGCAGGCTTTAGTTCATACTTAATATATCAAAAACAAATCAAGAAGATTGGGAGGGAGGGAGGTTCTCTTGATCTTTAAGGATAACAAGGTCCCTGGATGATATTAGCATATCACTGCTCTGTCCCCCCAAATTGTCCCCTCCTGTTGCAGCCTCAGGGATCACAGCAAAGCACCACAGATCACATGGATTGTATTCATTCTGGGATTCAGATGCATTCAAGGCAAACCCTAGAAGGTTAGCATATACTTTGGAAGCAGAAGATCTAAGGTTCAGTCCTTAATATCTGCAGTTAAAAGGGTCAGGGATTGGGAAAATTCTCTCTGACTGAGACCCTGGATAGCCAACACTCATACATGGCTGCAGATTCTTATGTTCCTATCCCAATACAAGCGCTAGAGCCAGCCATAGTCAGATGAAATTCTTGGCACTGGGGCAAAGGTGAAAACTGTCATTCTTAGAGATGCTTCCTTTGAACTAGATTGCCAGCTATGGTACCACACCAGAGTCACTGCTGTGAGATTAGTGCCCATTTCAACAGATACTGAAAGTGATCTAGAAAAAGAATCATCTGACAAGACATGCTGTACTTTATCAAAACATATGTTACAATAAGTCTGCTAATCTTTAAGGGGTTATCAGGCTTTTTGTGGGTTCTGTTTTTCACTTGTCCTTCTGAATTCTGGGCATTTCCTTATCAGTGATTTCTAGAGTAGCATCTTCTGGCATTATCCAACTACTGCTGTACTGATATAATAGAAACGAAGGGAAGAAAAGACTACTTTCCTACACTTTCAAAATAAGAGCAATATTGTCTAATATAAAATGCAAGTTTTAAACAGTGAATTAACCACAGAGCATTTGGAAGCATATTGTCTATTTTTGCTTTTCCACAGATACAAGGCCATCCTGAAGGCTGAAAGCCGACATATATGATTAAACAAACTTTATTTCATTAATTTATATAGCTGCCTATCTCAACGACTCTGGGAAGTTGATAATGATAAAAATAAAACAAATACATATACAAACTTTAAAATATATAGCAGCCAAGAAAACCAACTATCATCCACATAGCCAGCAGGTGGGTCCTTTCACACACTTGAGGCCCAGGCCTGAGCACAGAGTCAGGTCTTTAGGATCTTACAAAAGGCCAGCAAAGTCAGGGCCAACCTAATGTGCCAGAGGGTGGGCACTATGGAGGAAAAAGCTTGTCTTCTGGGCCCCACGAGCCTGCATTCCTTAGCCAACAGGACCCAGAGCATGTCCATCCTGCTGGACCGGATGAGACAAGTAGAAACAACCGGGGAAGGACAGTCCCTTAAGTAACCCAGCTCCAAGCCACAAACGGCTTTAAAGGTAACAACCAGCACTTTGAATTGCACCCAGCAGCATACTGGCAATCAATACAGCTCACAAAGTAGTGGTGTTAAATAAGCCAAATAACCCATGCCATTAACTATCCATGCTGCTGCATTATGCACCAATTGAAGCTTCCGAATGTTCTTCAAGGGCAGGCCCATGTAGACCACGTTGCAGTCCAGATGAAGCCATGAAGTCATGAGTAACCATGAGCAAGGCCTCCTGGTCTAGGAACAGGCACAACTGACGCAGAATCTGGAGGTATGCAAAGGCCTTCCTAGCCACAGCTGCCTCTTGCTCTTCAAGCAGGAACTGTGAGCCCAGGAGGATCTTCAGATTATGCACCAGGTCTGAGGCAGTGCCACCCCATCTGGAACCAAAGATGGAAGATCCCCAGCACCAGGAGGTCGAAACACCCAAAGCTTCTCAGTCTTGCTTGGGTTGAGCCAAAGCCTGTACTGCCCTATCCAGCTCCCCCCCCCCCGACTCCAGGCACTGGAACAGGATGTCCATGGCATCACTCAGATGGCCTGGGGTGGGGATATAAGGCTGAGTATCATCAGCATACTGGTGATACATCGGCCCCAAACCATTGGATGACCTCACCAAGAGGCTTCATGTAGATATTAAACAGGAGGGGAGAGAGAACTGAGCTGCAGCACTCCACATACTAGAGACTATGGGCTGGACCTCCCCCCACCATCGACACCAGCTGGAACCAGCCCCTGAGGAAGGAAGAGAACCAGCACAATACAGAGCTGCCCACCCCAACTCCTGGAGCCGATCCAGAAGGACACCATGATTGATGGTATTGAAGGCCGCTGAGAGATCAAGAGCAGCAAGGATCAATGCACTACCCCCATCCTGCTCCCACCAAAGGTCATCCAAAAGCGCAATCAATGCCATCTCAGTACTACCCCCAGGCCTGAATCTCCACTGAAAGGAGTTCAGATAATTCTTTTTCCAGAGCCCTCTGAAGTTGCAGTGCGACTACCTTCTCTACGACCTAAAAAGGGAAGATTGGAGACTGGATGAAAATTATCCAGACTAGTTGGCAGGTGACAGAGGAATTAACCATTCCCCAACCCCTATCACACATCCCCTCCCAAATGGTCTTAACCAACTGTGTCATAGGCACGTTCCAAGAACACAAAATCACCTTTCTTGCTACTGTACAGGCATGGTCATCTAGAGCTCTTCATACATAGACAAGTTCCAATTTTTTTGAAATATAATTTAACTTCCTTCCATGAGCCTGACTAAAAATCACTAGTGTGGAAAGGGCCTTTGTCAAGAAAGCTAAAAAGCCATTTCTGTTCAGGAAATGAAAGGCTGTTGTTTGTTAAGGCTCCAGTGTCACTGCAATTAATTCTAACATTTGACAAACCTCAGTTGACCAAACAAGCTTGTTTTAGTTACTTTGCAATTAAGATGTGATTTCAGCCAGATGTTAAAGCCCATTGTGCTTTTAATCTAGTCACAAGCACACAAACTCTCCAAGTTTTCAGAGGGAGACCACTGAATGCATGCAGTCAGGCAAACATTTTAAGTGCTTTGTTGGATCCCAGCCCATGCAAGTTGAGCATATACGTCTTTCCTTTTACCACCATGCTTGTTTTCATTTCAGCCTCATCAGAAGAGAAAGCAAGAAAGCACAAATGGCTTGAGACCAAGTTTTGCTACTCAACTATGATGTGGCGAGGGAATTTTGAGTGTTGCATCAGTAAAACATTTCAACCCTTGATGCAATACTGGCAACAGAGAAGTTCCAATAGAAGAAGTGTTAGACATATATACATGCTTCGGGTTGGATGTCAGCCAGTTTACAATCTTACTCAAGTCAGCAGATATTAGTCAGACTGATTCAGAACCATTCTTGTGTTTTCTAATGCTGAAGTGCCTGCTCTTCTTAGTTTTATCATCATTCACATGCCTATTTTAATTATGTATATTTTAATTATGTATATTTTAATTATGCTCCATATCTGTTAATTGCCCTTTTGGATGAAAAGGTGGGCATGAATCAACTCAACGCAACCAATAAATAATTAAAATGTCCACAAGAACATTTTGAAATACACAGCTTTAAACTCTAACTTCTGATATTTTCCAACCTCGACTGCCTTCATCAATCTAATCTCATGGTCAGAGTAGATTCCGGGATGTGGATACAGGAACAGAATCATGAGGCTAAGAGTGCAAGTTGGTGAAAACAACAGGTATGATTTCTTGGAGGCAGCCACAGATGCTGTCAAAATGCTGTCAAATGCTTATTTGAATTAGAGCTGCAACTGACAGAAATGCAATGTCTAGAATCCTCCAGCCCAAACAGCTACTGCAGAAAATTCTGGGAGCTGATGTCCACACATTTGGAAGATACTTAATTTGGGGAAAACCAATTTTTTAAAGAAATTTCCCTCCCTGAAGGCTGATCCTACATATATTGTCTTCTGCACATTAACATGGGGTGAAAGTAATCAAGAAATTTTAAGAAGTGGTTTGGGATTATATAAATCTGCCTGTTGATACTTTTATAATACAAAAAATAACTAAGATTAACATACATACATGCTCATGGTTGATTTGTTTAGAATTTATTGTACTACAGTTTACTGCTAATTAGCAAAATGAGTCAGTAATACCCATAGGGGATCAGAATCAACCTTAGCAATAAATATGATTTAATATAGAACAATTTACTTTTATAAAACTGGCATCTCAAGCTGTAAATCCAACTTAGTTCAAGCCTTGTTTCATCTAAAGTGACATTAAAATGTCTGTGTACATGTGTCTCCATAAATTAAAGCTCTCAGTTAGATCCACATTTAATAGTGTTAATAGTTCTTAAAATAAGCATGCATTATGAAAGAATAAAAATAGATCCCAGAAGCTACATAGCATGCAATACCCTTGATTTAAAGAGAAGTTTCAAAACTTAATAACTCACTTTTAAAAGAATAAAGGCTGATTGTCATAGTAACTCTGCACATATTCAGCTCATGTTTATTAGTATGCTTTTGTCCATAACAGAGATGGTTATTAGGTGGCTCCAACATCAGGAAGAAAACCAGAGTCCCTTCCCAGCCCCAGCAATTATTTCTACAGTCTTTCTCTCCCTGAAAAGGAGACCAAGGGAGGACAGGATTATGAAGTACTGAAGCTGGAACAGTTCGACTTCTCTAGTTCATTCATGAAGCCACAAGTATAGAGATCTGGCTTGAACCTAAATAATCCCACTCACGTTACTCACGTATCATTTTGGCTAAACCTAGAAGTTATTCCTAATTGCCTATTATATTTGCTGATCAATCCCTATGTCTGCTTTTCTCAAGTGGCCTTTTCAGCTGGAAAGAGGCTTTATGTGAGTGTGTGAGAGAGAGAGGAGTGAGCGATGGCATAGGCTAGGATACATAGCATATTCAGAGCCTAGAATGCAAAACTGAACTTGAAATAGCATCTTTGGTCAGCCAAAGTGACAGACAACAAACACATTAGCAACACATAAACAATAGCAAACACAGTCTGGGGCTTTGGAGCAGGAGGTGCACTTATATCACGGAATGAGATTGCATGATGCAAGACATCCAGGGCCAGAAAGGGTTCCTCCCCTCTGGAACTTCATAAGAGAGTGAAGCAAATCAAGGCCTATTGGTCCATGAAAAGAAAAAAAACCTGAGGTTTTTCAAGACATGTGGCTTCTTTTTACTTTGCGAACAAAACAGGTCAAAAGGAACTCCTGGAAAAATAAACGCTGGGCTTATCCCCCCACTGTAGGAATGGTGAGATTTTTTTTTTTTACAAATAAATAATCTTGTCTGTATAAACACCTCTAAGATGGGAAACAATGAATAATCACGCCCTCATGCCCTTTCCTAACAGAAAACTAATTTTTCTAAATCAAATAAGTCATTTCCTGACACTACTAAACACATGTCCCGTTTAGCTAAGATAAGATTGGTGAGTCAATGATACTTAAAAGCCTTGATTGATATATATTTCCAGTGTGGGAAGTGATATTTAATGTAAGAATGATATTTAACATCTTAGTTTATTGGTTGTGTGAATAAAGCAACAAAGGTTACAAACTGCTGCTGGGTTTCCTTTCAACTATACTAAAAATCCCCTTGAATTAAAACTACACTGTGAGTGTGCCCACAAAGTGATATTAATATACTTAGGAAGGGGGGGGAGGGGGAGAAGAAAAATAGCCTACCCCATCCAAGGAGGTAATACCAAAGTAAGTGCTGCTTTTCTGCAAATACAGCCACCACAATGAGAGTGTGCAAGTAAATGCCTTCACAGAGCATCCAGAAGTAATTGCAAACCATTAAGTAAAAGTGGAAGAATTGTGCCACTTTGCATCCAACCTATGGGGGAAAAGACCAATATAATTATATATATTCTTGTAATATACACAGGTTAAAAACAACTTAATTTGAATTAATCTAGCCACAATGGAAACACAAAGAGAAAACAAAAATAATTCTCTCTGCTTCAAAATGCTATGTTGAGATCACACACCTTTTTTGGAAGAACTTGAAAGATCTTCTTAGAATCTCAAAAATTCCATTTCTTGTCTGTCCATAGGAATAAGAATGTGGGCGTTAATTTCCAGGATCCTGGAATCTGGGCATTTAGAACTTGATTTGCATCAGCAGGTGGCAATACCTGCCTGATCTTACCTGGGCTTGGGAGCAGGGTCTCAGTTGGATGGGAGACTTATCAGGGAATATCAAGATATCAAAACATACTCTGGAAAAAGGCAGTGACTAATTATGGTATCATTGCCAACCTCCCCTGCATAGTCATGTCACCAGGAGTCAAGCTTAATCTGAAGAAGAAGGCCTTTTTCTTCCTGACCCCACTTTTTTTTTTTTTTTTTTTTGCCATTGCTTTGTGCCACTTTTATTACTAAACCTTGCTATATCATTAATCTCATCCTTGGAAACATAGGAAGCTTCTACCATGAAAGACCACTGGTTCATCTTGCTCGGTATTATCAACCAGGGATGGGCTAAACCACAATTCCCCCAGCCTGAGTCATGGCCAATGGTGAGATAAATCCTGGAAATTGTAGTAGGGCAATACCTGGAAAGCCACAAATCTCTATCTAGACTGGGCAGATCTCTGCACTTTCCAGTCATTTTAAGGCGTACCTGAAGATGTCAGGATCTAAACCTGGAATAGTCTATGTTCTGCAATAGTTTTCCCAGGCCCCATCAGTTAACTTAATTCATGCAGATGTGTATACATTTTTCTGTATTTATATCTATCTTGCCTATTCTCCACAGAATCCTAGGTATATTCAAGAATAAATAACAAATATTAAAACATATTGACCATCTTGATGGCTGCAAACCAGTAGGGAGCATCAGAAAATATACTCTACATTCTGATTAGAGAACACTGAACGCTGCATCCCGAACAAATAATAATCTCTGAAGCTGTAGCTATAAGTACCCCAATCGCTATCAGAAAAAGCACACTGCCTAGCATGATGAAAAAAAGGCTGTTTCCTCTACCAGGAAAAATAATTTATAGAACAAACTTAAGTTTTAAGAATTCAATAAAAACTGGATGCTATGATTTCATTTCTTAGATCCTTACTTTTTTCCTTACCTTAAGTCTAAAGGCATAAAAAGAGGTAGGCAATTACATAAACTGTATCAAAAGATAAATCTTAATAGAAATATGTACTAAATGCAACAACTGTGTTCAAACAGCCATTCTGATGAAGTAGCTAATTAAAATTTAAAAAAACAAACCCTTCAAAAGCCTAGCATAACCAGAACAGTAAAAAAAAAAAAATCAAATCCATAATTTTCTATTACAAAGGAGTGTCTCTGCATAAATAAACTAGTTACAAGTGTCTGGGGAAAAAAAATCAAGATTTGGAATATTTCTTAAAAGCAAAAAGCCACAACAAATAATTGCTTTAATTTATTTCCAATGTTAAAGTGGATGATGGAAATAAAATTAGATCAATGCCATCCAAGAGAAAGTGATGTCTGCAAACAGGTTTATTATTTAACTAGTCCTTACCAAAACCAAAAATAAGATATCCTTGAAATGAGTTTATTACAGAATTTGAAAAGCCTCTAATTTTCCATGAATCAAGGAATGTAATTCTTCTGCAGTCCCCATTCTAGACCCTTACAGGTTTATTATTACTGCTGCTGCAGTAGTATTAATTTAAACTCTTGTGCAAGAATAAACAATGGACCTATCACTGTCAATCACTGTTAGAAACATAAAGCCACCTGAACCCTTCAAACAACCTGAGAAAATGTCAGAAATAACTCTGTCATTATGAATAGAAATGTTCCAAATTCCATTTCTAAGGCTGCTTCCTTCAAGCCACTATAACAAGAGGCTTGTTCATTTCCTTATATTGGGAGTCTACAAATGTCACTACCTACTTCTGTCCAGAAATTAATGAGGCATGGATGTTCATGGATACAGCTACCAATAATTTCTACCACTCTAATCATGAGATTGAGAACTAGTTTGGTTGTTAAAGGCACCAGGCTAGAAAACAGAAGACCTGTCCTGTCCTAGACATGAAGCCAACTGAGTGACTTTGGGCCAGTCTCTCTCTCTCTGTCCCTCTTTCTCTCTTCGCCCTAGGAAGAAGACAAGGGCAAGCCACTTCTGAAAAATGTTGCTGAGAAAAATAGCATGGACTTATCCAAGAGAGAGAGATACTGTATATTATGCTACTGTATATGTGACTGACCAGTTATCAAGAGATACTGTACCAATAAATATATAACACAGAATAATGAGGGTTATATTAGGGGAGAATATGAGGCTTCCTATAAACACTGCTTCTCTTTCATATTATTTCACTGATTATTGTGTCTTGCTTAATTAGCTTAAGCTATACATAGAACGAAGTTCCCCTGAGCTCAGTAGATCATATTCCCAGGTATTTTATGAAGCAGTAAAAATACTAATGTGATAGCCACTTACTGGGTTAGATGCAGCCAGTGTTTGGTTGTTGGCAGCTGCTGACAGAATAACAATTGTTACAACAGAGTTGCAAACAAAAGAAAAGAAGAGATTCTTATGCAATGTGATCCTTTGGCAACTGAGGCTCCTGAAGGAAAATGAGCAAGAAAAAATTAGGGTAGAGAGGCAGAGATTTGATTCTTATTTTTTTCCTTTGCACAGAACATTTTCTTGGTAGCCATTTAATCACTACATTCATAGTTGATTGCTAGTTCAAGAACATTTGACCCCCTGAAAGAGCCAGAAGAGTCCACAGTAACCCTGCTGACCCTCTGCACCAAACACATTAACTTGCCGTCAGCTCTCTCAAGTCTTGCGTGATAAAATGTTCTATGTTTAGTGAGTGAAACATTGGCCGTAACACCTTACATCCCTGGCAGAGGATTCTGCCAGAAGCTGTAACAATGAAAATAATGGCAAAACATGGACTGTCACATCATAACAGCAAAGCCAACTTTTTACAACAGCTCTCCTCCCAAAGTGAATGGGAGGAGAACAGGTAGAAGTAGCAGCATTTGAATAAACTCACTAAGGAGCCACAGCTGCATCTCCAAATTCCATGGAAGTGGTCTGCGGTTGCACTGTGCTGCTGGGGACTTACTTCCATTGCTGGCGCTGGTTAGATATAAGCTCCTGGACTATTTTTGGGCAAGGCATAGCTCAGCAATCTTTACAGCTGCAAAGATAACGGTCTTGGGACTCAGTCTTTGCACCTCTGATCTAGGTCAAATGGGGCAATTAATACAGAAAACCTTGCGGCGTTCGCAACCGAACAAAGCGATCTTCACTCTGGAATACCCCTTTGTTTAATACAGCACAGTCATAAATATACTGCACTAGTAACTACAAATGTAATGAAAAGTGAAAAATCTGTCATTTACAGATCAAAGTGCCCTTCAGTAATACGCGAGCTGAAAAAAATGTCACAACGGCCGAATTTGGTAAAGAGATTAAATGAACTTTTTGGTACCACAGAGATCCTTGGCTCCTCCCTTTATGTGGTGCTTAATTATCCCAGGAATAATTTGGGAGAATTTCCCGTTTTGTCCACATTAGGAAACTGAGGTGATCAGTTTCAGAACAAGAGAAAATATTAAACCATGTTGTGAAGTTGGTTTAGTATCCTGGCTTATTTTCAAGCTGACTGCCATAGCTTTCTGGTTTGGATAGAGCAGGAACAGAGATTTCCTGGTCTAATTACTTGACCCACAAAGAAGGAATGAAGTGGTGGTATGTATGTTAAAAGACAAATACATGTTTGTCTGAACTTGGCCAATATACATTAAACAAACAATGCAACTATATAAATAGCATTCATTTAAAAAAGTTTTAGGGAGGAGATGTATTCTAGATATAAGCAAGCGTTCTTAAAAACAATTTGTCACTTGGATGAGATAGAAGAGCGTTGCACTGACATTTTTCAAGATTTGGCATTGCAACAAATTGTTTAGATAATACAAAGAACAAAACAGAGGTCAGAATTACTTGTGACACAGCATTTATTTATTTCTTCTCATGATTTCTGGCAACTTGAAGGTCACTTACCATAGCAGTTTAAATCAGCTGCCACTAACATCCAATCATGCATATGGACCAAACACAGATTCATATTTTGGACTTACAATTTACCAGAAAAATTATGACATATATATGAACCATGCATTACAGGTTTGGTCTCTATATACATATCATAGTTAACAGTTGCTTTATAGGTTTCTGCTGTATCAAAACTGCTATAAAATCAGGCATAGACTTTGGAGTCATATGACCCCAACAGTTTTCTATGAGGTAACTTCAATAATTTAATACAAGAACAATGTGAATATATAGAACAATATGAATACATACCTCAGCAACTCTTGCCATAAAACAGTACTCAGAATGCTGGAAGCTACATGTTATTAATTGCATACAGGTACTGGCCATAAGCTACAGGGGTGAGTACAATTTATAAATGAAAACGATACTTACTTAAAATAGGAGAATATGCCAAGGGAAATCAGAAGTGAAACAATTGAAAGGCTATGGCCAATGATAGAGATATAGTACAGATTCAGAGCTGTCTGTAATAAAACGTAGAGAGAAGAATAAGCACTCAAGTACAGCCTACTAAGCACTGACCCAAACATTTTTTTAAAATAATTGCTTGAAAACAGAGTCTCAAATATAGTACCTGAGCAACATTTCAGTGCACTAGGTGATCATCTATGCTAACTTACAGTTTTGCTAAACTACAAATCCCAGCATACCTTGTTAGTGGCCTCATGGGCTAGGGCTGCTGACAGCACGCCTCAGCAATTTCTGGAAGGGCACTGTTAGTCTACCTTCTTATGAGGCTAGTCTGATCGTCTTCCAAAATGCAGCTCCGTCCCTTCATTAAGGATGGTCAGGTTGGCAGGACAAGGGGTGGGCACTTTCACTGGTGGTCTATCATTTTTAAGTCCCTAAGAATTTCTGCGGAGTTTTAAACAAGAACTTTTGCTTCCTCTGATTATATGATATCTGGGGCTTTTTTAACCAGTATTTTAAAAATCTATTTCCTTTCGCCACTCTTTCTAAAAATATACTATATGGTTCTATTTTTTTGTTTTAAACATTTTATTGTAGGAGCATGCACGAAATGAGAACCTGAGAACAAAACCTGAGCTTGGAACAATCCCACTAAAAGGGTTCTACCAAACTGGCTGTGATCTGTCAGAACAAATCTGAGTACCCCAAGCATTTTGTTCCAGCCTCAAAATAAATACATGTTTTATTTCAAGCTTGGGACTTCTCTCTATTGTATTATATAATGTTTTGGGAGATTTTGCTCTTATAGGTAGCATGAATAACCAAAAAGGATGTTACTCAGCTGAAGGATCAAATGATAAACTCAATCAGAGCTTAAGATACTTATCTCCCTTAAAATATTAATGAAAACTTATTTTTAACAATTATCCGGCCTTGCTTATTTGTAGAGTAGTCTCTCTAAAGGCAGTGGGCACTGTCTGTGTTTGGAAAACTTCAAGCATTATTTTGTTTAAGTACAACAGTGACACCAACAAGATCTCCTGTGGTATAGCTTAAAAAGAATTTACTTATTTTTCCATGTAATTTAGGCACTATACTGATTCATTCCATATCATCCCTATTAAATATTCTCTACAAGTGAGCATGCTTCCAAAATGTGTTTGTGAAAGCCATGTATATTGTGGTATGACTGTAAAACAGCACACAGAAGGCATCTCTGTACACTATAACTGACATGGCAAATGGTTAATTTTCCACCAATGTTTTCAGATGGAGGAGAAATAAACAAATACTGACACAAATGCAAATGAGACAATCTGATACACATGGGAAATAACAGAAAACATTTCTGAAATAAAGAGACCCACATCAAGCTTGATTTCCCTTATCTCTATCAAATAGTGCTATTTTACTGTAGCACTCACTGGCTAACCCATCAGGTTAGCTTAATCCTCCAAAGGCAAAGGGCAGGTAACCGTTCTGTGGCCAGGAACTGTAGGGAGCTCACAGGATGGGCAGGGTTAAATTTGGGCAGACATTTTTTGCGGGAGAGGGGAGGTACTAACTCAAAATAAAGGTGTGAACACACCATTATTATTGTTCTTGTATTTTACCCTCACAACAACAACTCTGTGGGGTAAGCTATGCTGAGAGTGATTGGCCCAAAGTCTCCCAAGGAGTCTCTGTGGTTGACCTCAATGAAGACAAGGATTTTCCCACACCTAGTCCATCACCTTCACCACTACACCACACAGGCTCTCTCCGTTAATTGTTGTTGTTTTTAGAAACAAAATCCACACCATCAACATTTGGCATTTTGTTTCTGAATTTCTGCAGCACAATCATGGGAGGTCTCAAAGGCCATGGAGCTAGCAGCCAAATCGGGTCATTGCAGCTCTGAGTACCCATGGACTCCATGCACCCATGGAGAGAGGAGACAGATGTCTTAGCCTTGCTCTTCCCTCAATCTCTCTTCAAATGATTCCAGGTTTGGTGTCACTTCTGGGAGTTAGTAGAATTGGCTGTCCAGATTCGCATACACTGAAAAAGCAGAGCAGAACTTGAGTAGAGGATCAGATTTCAAACCAAGCTGCATGACTGGTGATCCTCTACACTCATTTGCAGTCTGCCTTCTGATTTTGCTGCTTAGTAGAATTTGAAAACACTACAGGATTAATTGGCCGGAATCAAAACATAGACATAGGATGGTATCAAAGTGTCTGGGGTCACACAGGATGTGTATTGCTTGTTCTAAATGGAAACTGTTGTGACCGCTGCTGCTGCTGCTCCATTTTTGCTTTTATAGAACAGGTTCTCATATTTCTTGCAGATTATTAGCCCTTCACAAACGAAGCTGTTTTTCCCTCTCTGGAATGAAGTCTCTAGGGTCAACCAAGGTCTGTATTAATAGGTCTTATAAAATTTGTAAAACCAACTGCACTGTAATTCAATAGTAACTTCCTGGGATTTAAGCTGTTATGAACCTGAACATGCTTCTCAAGCTTCAAACAAATTTTGATCAGCCACGCTGTATTAAGGACAACTTGATGAATAGGCTGCCAGTGGGGATGGAGGAATGTTTATTGGCAGGATTCGATCACTGTCCACTGTGTTGATTTTCTTGCCTTCTATTCCTTCTTATATCAATTTTCACAAATTGCAGCAAACACATGACATTAATTCTGTTCTCATAATGCATCCAGGGTGAATGAATATCCAGACAAGAGAGATTGAAACTCATTCAACTGAATGCCTAATAAACTATAAAAATGAACAAGTATTCACACCTCCTTGTGACTGGATATCCTACTTTCCTATCATTTCCTGCAAATCATGTGTGGTCAGTCCTGATCCAAATATAAGATCTCAATATACAATTTTTTTTTTATCATGGAGAAAGTAATTGCTCATGTTTGTTCTTTCATAAAAACTGCTAAAAAAAGACCTATCTGTAGTTGTCTTTCCTCCTAGCTATTTATGATCTTCCTGCTTGTTTGTGAAACCAATTCTACAGCACATGACATTCCACCTGACTGGAAGTGGTGAAAAATACAATAGAGATAAATAATTAAATCTAATAAATAAACAAGACACTTAAAATGCCAGCAACACATCCTATACATTTCTACTGAGAAATAGGTCCCGCTGAATTCAATGGGACCTCTTCCAGGGTAACTTATTGTAGGATGGCAATCTAAACGGATTAACCTTACTGAAATATAATGCAATAGCAAGGAAGAGGAAATTAACATAGTGGACATTTCACAATTGTTAGGGTTTTTTTTTAATCCTTTATTCTTCTGAAAATGCAATTACCTGCAATTTATAATTTACTCCTTTATTGCAAAGGGTATAATTTGTCCAAGTTCTGTTACTCTCAGGGTGCACAAACCAGTGCCCATTTGCTTCACAGATCTTAAAAACTTTTTCTTTTGGAGAAAAATTAAGGAGAAAAAAGTTTATTATTAATACTGTGTTTTAAAATAGTTAACATTTCAACAACAACAATAACAAAAGGCATTGAAATGCATATATACAGTACATATGCTCACATCACGTGGTTCCCTTTTGGGGTAAGCAACATTACGCAGAGCACAGAAAATGCGTAATAAATAGTGAGGTAATTACATCTGAAGGATGAAATAAGAAAAGACTGCTCAAATTTAATCCAATATCATTCACTATTCCCCTCCATATCCTTTCTATCCTTGCTTCCATCATGCTGAGACACTGCTTCAGACGTCGTCATTTGTTCTTTAAAGCTTAATCCCATCCACTCCAATCAACTACACTTTTTTCACTCTTTCCCTTCTTCTCAGTCAATTCACTCTTCTTCATATAGTGTTTTGTAATTGCATCCATATTAATTTTCTCTATATAAGACGAAAACACTTCAATGTACTTTTTACATACCGGTCACTCACTTTTGCATGCAATCCATATTTATTTAGCATCCATTCATTTTTGATCCCATTTCTTCTTGTTTTACCATACATATTTCTTAAGAACCCCATTCCCACTGCATTCAATTTACTTTTATATTTCTCTTGACATACTCAGTTCTTATCTGCGTACAGTATAGTGAGCAAAAACATTCCTTTAGATACTGCCACTTTACTTCTTTCAAGAACTATCAATTTCTTGCAAAAAAACAAAAACAAAAATCTCACATGTGATACTCACTACTTTTCTATCAACATTTGCAGGTCCTAAAATATCTCCAATCATTTTCTCACATTTGGTAAACATTCAACCAAGGTGCACAAATTATCTATGCACTTTAGGTTTGGGCCATTTATTGTAACTTGAACTGTTCCCTCCTTTTCCCTTGTCATTGGTTTTTGATACATTAATTTCCAAATCCATGGTCTCTGTTGCATCTTACAAACTACAGTATTAACGTTCACTGCAAATCGTCTGCATAAAAAAGTACATGTTCTTAACCAATCAATGTCATCCCAAACATTCCTCATACATCTATACATAAACACAGTCAATATCCAAGGGAATATTATACATTCTTGTACAATGCTCAATGATTAACCATTTGCAAGAATTTCATTTATTTTCATACATGCTTTATCCATTCTATACTGGTCCTACTATATTCAGGAACCAGTTTAGAACTCTATATTCCTTCAAAACATTCCATAGTTCACACTTACACACTTTATCATACACTTTCTCTAAGTCAACAAACATACAATAAACTTTCTCACTTTTCAGCAATTTCAATGACCTGCTGAACAGCAAAAATCTAATCTGTGTTCCCACCAACTGGCAGAAAGCCTTACTGAATTTCTTGGATTTTCCTCATTATCACTTTCTGTATCCTTTCAGTCAAAATTCTATCAAATGCATTATCAGGAATGCTTAACAAATTAACCCTCCTTTAGGATTTTATCTTACATTTGCTTGCTAACCCACAACTTGATGACTAGGATTTTCCAGGTACTGAGGTCAAAGTGATTAGTCTGTATTTCCTGGATCCACTTTTTCCCTTTTAAAGACTGGAAGAATGTTAGCTCTTCTCCAGTCTTCAGACATTCCCTCTATACTCCAGTGAGTCAGCAGTTCTGAGATCACATCCACCAGTTCCTTTAGCACCCTGGGATGTGATCCATCCAGCCCCAGCACCTGAATTCATTCAGAGCAGCTGGGTGTTCTCTCAACACTTCCTTGCCTATTTTGACCTGCATTCCTCTTCTGCCCCCTTAATCAGTAAATGGCTAAGCACTGTTCTCTAACTCTGTAGTAATAAAATCTGCATTTCAATGGGTATAAATGTATATAATTGCATGAAGGATTATAACCAATGCAACTTGTTAAATGAAGTAGAAACTCTCCCTCAAAGCAAAAAAAGTCTGGTTAATGATGACTGAAATACTTTCTTTGAACTTCTGGCTTTCTGGTCTAGCTGTGAACTGAGATGAACTGAGACAACAAGCAATGAGTTCCAAATCAGTCCCATACATGCCTGTCCTGCAGGGCATTCTCGCATGCAGATTCCAATGTATTTCAAGAGATTTGGAACAGTTGGTTGCCTTAATTAGTTGAGGCATCTTTGACCAAATGTCCATTTGGGACATAAATCTGGCACTTCAAAATACTAAGACGACAAGGTCTCAAATCCATAATATTGTTCTTGTATACACAACATATGACCTATCACACTGAACATAGTCTATCAGCCAAGGATGAAAACAATTCTGGAGCCTGATTAAATTCCTATTTTTGCTTCTTGTCTGGAACTAATCACCCCAGAGATTGACAAACATTTAATGGGCTACAGTATAATTTGTGCAGGCCTGACATGGTTACATCTGACACATGCTACCAAATGCATTCCAAGCAATAAGAATCCTGTACTAGAAAGAGTTTATCTTAAATCATTCCTTTCTTTTAATTTTCAACTCCATTTCCTTTCTAAATATTTTATAAATATTTCTCGTCTTGGTTATTCTTGCACACAATCTTGTTACCCCTCAATAAATCCTTCTATTTTGGGGCTAATTCCTAGCATCTTTTTCTCAGATACTTTATCCATATTTGTATACAGTACATGCTCAGTTCATTTTGCTTCCCATATCTTAACAAGAAAAAATCATGGCCACTAAAATTGCAGTATGGGTTAGAGGAGGCCTAGACAGTACAGAATCCATGCTTTAGGAATTCAGCTGAGAACTGTAGGTCCAAAGAACATATTATATTTTTAAAAGTTCCAATAGTTCCTATTAATAAAAATAAAAACCATACTGTTCAAAAAATGTTTTCATCCTGCAGCTGCTACAAGGAAAGTAACACTAATTTATTCAACCCTATTTACCTATATGGGGGGGGGGATAGTTTTTTTCCTTATCATATCAGCCTGTTGGAAAATACGGATTTTCAACTAAATATTTATTTGATCTATAAACAATTTATGTGGCTGGTTATCAAGCTCCTACTTCTACATGATCATGGATGGAAGCTGTCAAATAATTTGATGTTGAATTTGTACAATTCTACCCAAATTCTCAGCACTCAGAAGCTTTCTTTGCTGACTCTCTCAAGTAGACAAATAAATTACTGAAGTCTTAATCCTTACCTGAAGGGTCAAAGTCCTGAAAATAGTCTGGACAGTTTTGTACTGCAGGCTTTCCTACAGCAGTATCAGGCCAGCACAACCAACCGTCCCATGTTCTGTTGCAGTGAGGACCTACAAAGTGAAGAGGCAACATTTGAAGTGTTTTGTCCAAATTTACTGTAATTTACATACAGAAAATCCTTTCCTTGCAAATTAGCAAATCTTTGGATCCAATCCAATATCTTTATGATTGGCAAATGCATAGTTGCTTCCAAGGAGGTTTCCATTTAAGTCTTAGTTGTATAACCCCTCCCACCAAGAGAAAAACACCACCCATTATTCTTGCTTTGGGCTCTGACTTGGAACTTGTTGAATACTTACATCTTTCTATCTCTGCCATTCTGAGTTCTACATCCATTATCTAACTCTCTGTTAAAAATATTGTGGCTTGAGCCACAAAAAGGCTTAAAACTATTCTTCATCATCATATTTTCTTACCCTGTACCTGTTAAGCTACAATTTTGCAAGAACCTTGCCAGGGGACAGACCTTTCCAGTAGGTTGCCCCAAACAAACCACACCAAATGAAGCAGGGGAAGGGAAGCAAATCTCTCCCCCACCCCCCAACCTCTGAATGCTTCCTTTGCATGCTGAAATCACTATGTTTCTCCTTCTGAACTTATGCAGGTTTCTTAGCTGCAGATATCACTATGCCATCTATGACTTTTGTTGGAAACTCACATCCTAAGGGGAAAAAACTTTCTGAATATACTTGTCTAAAACCTGGCAGGTTCCATCTTGTTACAAGGGACCATCACTCCTATACATTTCCTCCAATTCTGTTGAAGAGAAAAAAGTAATAGGGGTTTGTGGATCTCTAATGATGATCCATTGTATGGCAATTCCCATTTCTTAATGAAGATTTTATTTTGAGATCGGAAGGCTTCTGAACTGGTCCAAGGCAGATCAGTCTGCTTTCCAAATGACCAAACTGGGATCAGAATTAGATTGTAGTTTGACACTCTTTTTTTTTTTTATTAGAGGATTCAGCTTAGATTTTGGAATACAAAACTGACAGACTAGTAGCTTTGGAAGAATAAGAGGGATTCCCTTTGCCCATATGTCTCTTCACGTTTTAAGGACCAGCCAGTTAAATCACTGCATGATGTATGGTACAAAGCAGCCAGGGGAACAAAAACAAAAAAAGCCAAATAGGAAAAAAAAAACCGTATTCATCTCTATCTCTGCCCAAGTCACCATTTGTTCTGCTTCTGTTGCTGCAGCCAACTTACTAGACAGGGCTGGCTGTTGAATATAGAAACATATGTCATAATAATCCAGGTCAAACTCAGTTAAAATAAAAAACCAGTGTTTGGCTTATAAAAAAACCTGATTTTTAATGTTCCCATTTTTTTTTCTTTGAAAAAGCTTCTGAATTTTTGCTTCATTTTTTTGTCCGCTAGAATTTATATTGATGGCATTTTTGAACTTTATTCTTGGAGGTGATAGAAAGAATTGCTGCTGATGATTGTTGCTGTGTTACAGTTATGCAGCTCTCCATCTGCTCAAGGTCTCCCTTGGAATTTAGGAAGTGTGAGAAGGGAGGCTATAAAAGGCTGGAGTGATTCTTTCACTGACATACTTGCATTGATCTCTTGCCCATTTTGCAAAAAAACCTTAACACAAAACTCCTGATTTTTACTGAACAGTCTTTCCAATTGTTTTTTTTTTTTAAGCCCTTTCTTTTCCTAAATGAATGAGAATGGTTGAAAAAAATTCAAGGATTTTGTACATCAATAATTTTACTTCTGCAGTATAAATAAAGCTGCTCTTCAGGAGACAAACAATGCTTATGTGAACAATTTATTACGAGTAAGATTTTAATTTAACTTAATCACTGTTTTCGTAAAATATAAGTTACACCTATTTATCATTGCCCACCACATTAATGTGTACCTTTAACTATCTCAGCAGCAAAATACTTTTCAACAAACAGCTCCACCATTAATTTATTTGTAATTCATTCTTATTCCTTTTCACAACCCAAAGTCAGAGTTACATACAAAAGATAAACAAACCAAATAGTTACACTTATTATCACATTCAAAATAAATTAATTACGCCCCAGAGCAAACAGTGCTAAATAAGAATACTTTGGAGTGCCTTGCTTGAAGATTTATTGGCACATGTAAGAGTCCCCAATGCTGTCTGTAAAGAGCTCTAAAAGATCAAAACTGCGCCTTTAAACAGGGAAAAAAACCAGAATTGAAAGCTTTTATACTTACAAGTGTTGAACTGTTTCCAAGAGGGATATAATAAGCAAGGTATTAGTAGGTAAAATCATTTATTTAATTCTATTTGCATGATTTAACAGATGGGATGCTTTAGTTTGGGAAAATAACTTGATGATATAAATTGTTTACCTTCATACTCTTGAATAGTATGTATAATTTTCTGATAACATTCAAACTGTGCTGTCATGATTTTATTATTAGTTACACCTAGTATAGCCTGGGGGTCTGTCTGATTCTTAGTTTCTGTTTCTTTGGACCAATTCCCCTCTTTTTCATCTGGAACTGCTGTGACAAAAACCTGGAGAGAAAATGGGAAAAACTAGTCACAGTTGCTCAAATGATTGCAACATACTGTACAGAGTGTTAATTGGATTGGATGAATTAATACAAACCGTTCTAGGTTATTCAAAAAGGAGCACACCAAGTAATTGGGCAGAAGAATGTTAATGAGGTCCACAATTTTTAATACACATTATTTTGTGAATCTATTAACTGTGGTGCTATCTGAGAAGAAAACATTACTTTTCAATGTGTCTTCAAAGGTACAGTGTCTGTCTGTCTATCTCAAAACAAAAATATCTCCCTGTATTAGCTGTTCAAAATGTGTGGAGTTTCAGGCACCTCAGCCTAATTTTGTAAATGACTAAAATTGGCTTCTTTTTGGCTGGTTTAAGGCAATGCTAAACTTTCACTGGTATGTTTATGAACTTTGAGGCGTTTAAAAAATGGCCAGGCTTATTACATTCACAGCTGTAAATATTAGCAACTGGAAACAGTACTGTTTTGGAGTTGGGGGCTTTTGATTTTTGTAAACTGTGTTAAGCCTAATGCAGGTCTCTGTAACTTTTTCTGCAAATTTTTCAAGTGAGTGGCATGCAGATCCAGAAAGCAGGGGTTAGGGCCAAGGTTGAAAGTTCAGTTGGGTTTCATTTATGTTCAAAACTAATTCTGATCAAATATGGTTGATATATTCACTCTTTATTAGTGTATTTAATAATTCTCCCCCTTTTGTAATAAAGTAACAATTTGTTTTTATTACTTCGCCTGTGTTCCATTTAACTGGTAAATCATCCTGCTGACATCTGCTGTTTTAAGATCCCCCTGCTCCCAATATTCTGAGATTGTTATTTTGCCATTCAGTGAGGTTTTCTGCTGTTCTTATAAAAGTCTTACAAGGTTCAGAAATGAAGTTATGATATCATTCCACAAGATATAAAACTCCAGTTCATGTCTTAGATGATATCCTTACTGGAGGATTGTCCCAATAAACAGTGTGTATCTTGACTTTGAATATCTGTAGCAGGGAAATGTAAACATTATTCAGCATAGAACTTATAAACTAAGCATAAATCTTATTATTAATCAATATAGCCTTAGTAAAAGCATTGTGATTTATATTATTTATATGTATCTGCTTATCTTAGCTCTGATGCTAAGTTACAGTCTCCAACTAAAAACCCCAGCTGAGAAGCAGCTAATAGGAAAAACTGCTGTTATTTCCTGCAAAGGCTTTCTATTGCATTTGTTTCCATGTTTCCCTCTACTAAACAAACTACTAATAGTTGTAAGAAAAGGCACAGAGAGATCAAATGCCATTGCCTGCCACTGATCTAGCACCTAGAGGTGGTCCTTGCTTAACAACCACTCATTCAGCGACCATTCAAACTTGCGACAGTGCTGAACGAGTGGTACTTACAGCCGGTCCTTGAAGTTCTGACCGTTGCAGTGCTCCTGTGGTCACTTGATCCCGATTTGCGACCTTCCCTGCTGGCTTCCCACAAACAAAGTCTGTGGGAAGTCTGACTGGTAGGAAGTTGGAAGTCGCAGTCAGATCTTGCTGAGACGGATCTTGCTGAGAGGGATAAACTGACTTCTTTGATAAGAGAAAAGTCAAATTCTACATTTATTGGCAACTGACAACCCTTATGGACTTTTTGTGTAAAAATGAAAAAAAAAATGAACTTGTGATTTATAGCTTTGATGATTAGACAGGATAGATTATAGATTATAGAAAGAAGAGAGTCATGATGTAACTTTAGAGAGAGAGGTTAAAATATAATTTTACTTACAACTGCTATGAAGAATATCGGAAACCACTCCTTTATGTCTTTATATTTTCCTTTATAACTTGCTCTTTTTTCTATTTTCTTTTTCTATTGCATTTTTAGTTGTTTCTGTTGTTTTTTTCTCTTTTTTTCCCCAGTTTTTCTGTTCTAATTTAGTTTGTTATAGCTTTTATTCTTTTTAAAAATTAATAAAAATTAATTTTTATTGATGAGAGGGATAAACTGACTATAATAGGAAATTGCAGTCTTGTGAGGTCCTCCCTTAATGAACTGCATGGTCCTCACGTAACAGCAGTAACTGAGGACTGCTGGAAGTGCTGTCACTAATGGTGTGGTCACATGATATCATGGTTTACAACTGCATTGCTTAATGACAGAAATTCCAGTCTCAATTACCGTCATTAAGTGAGGGCTATCTGAATTGGCAGAATTCAGAAATCATAAGCCATAATATGACTTGTTTGGTTTTGATTTAGCATGAAGTGTCAAAACAGTCATTGTGGTTTAAAATCCATAATTTATGGCATAGTATGTCATGGGAACCCAATCACTTGTGGATTATTCAATAAAACATGGTTAAAACATAGAATAGCATGATGTCTATATAATGAGGGCTGTTGGAGTGCAAGAGTAAGCAAATGGTAACATGTATATGTTGACATCATCACACAAATGCCACAACATAATGTTGTTGTGTCAAATGTCATGTAACATAATTGGGACTTCTGTATGATGACATTATTGCACATGTGCTCTCATTTTGGGATCACTGCAGTTTGTTACAGACACTGCTGGGCTATACCAGGTTTCCCTAAACTAGAATTCTCTAGATATGCTGAGCTACAACCCTTAGAATTTTCATCCAGAATTCTTTGAGTGATAACCCATCTGGAAGGCACCAGGTTGAGGAAGCATGATACTGAGTAGATCTCACAAAATTGTCTTCTTTCAAGCAGAAGCCTTTTGCTGCCGTATCTGGAGAAGCCAGAGACTACCACTGTATGCACAAAGGACATGTGCTATATAACATAACATGTGCTATGTTTCATATGCCAATCATAAGGCTGGGTACCTTGGCTATCTCCAGCTACCTAGCTAACAACAAGCACAATTTAAGAGCAATTTCTATTCATGACCAAATACTATTATATAAACATCTGCAGATGTGTGTGTAGAGGGAACAGACTCACCAATGTCAGAGCTAAGAGAGGCAGCAGCTGTATAGTCCAATTGGTTTCCATCGCTAAATCTATGCAATGTAGCTTTACAATTCAGCAAAAAGGTGTAGCTGAAAGTAAACAAAACAAAATAGAAACATCTTAAACTTTATGGTTATGATCCTAAACCCATTCACTAGGGAAAAAAATCCCACTGAACCTAATCAGGCTTACCTCTGAGTAGACACACATATATAAGATTACAGTATGGCTCAGCTTTGAGTGGGAGGACTGAAGTTTGCACTTCACTTGCCCACTTCAGCCAGTGAAGCTTAAAAGCATCCAGCTTTGGCTGCACTGCGTCCTGAATGTTTACTAAATAGAATTAAAATAACAGTAGCAAACTGTAGTATGCACATCATTTTGTCTTAACCCCAGGGAAAACAAAGCAACTAAAAAAGAAAGACAGGCCATTTTTTTTGTGTTGTTTCCTTTTTTTTTTCCAAAGGAGGAAGCTTAGGAAAAAATGGAGGTAAGAAAGATGGGTCAATAAAGAGAAGGGAGATCTCAATGTTCCTCTAATATGGCCTCTAAAATCATAATGACAGAATGTTCTAATATGACAACACATCTTCTCAGTTCTAGTTTTGGCCATCATTTCTCACACACCCACCACTGTTGGCTGACCGGCGATGGGAACTTCCAGGAGTTTGTATCCCCAAAGTCATCACATTGAACTTATTTCCTTTACTATAGCCAATTAAAAAGATGAAGTCATGCATAGAAAGGATGAAAAAAGACAGAACAATTTTGAAACTGCTACATTAATGTATCCACTAGGGTTGTTTCTTATTTTTTCCTTTACTTATGATAAACAACATGAAATAAGAAAGCAATTCAGGGAAATTCTATTGATAGATGCCTATTTCCCTTAAAATTTCTCTTAAAGCCTAGGAAACAAGAGTAATCCAACCCAATATAACAACCTGATTCATATTTTGTTAGCTAGCATTTTGCTTAAGTTGGAAAACATGCCCATTTACCCCTACTCTGTTCTGCTTCCAACTACTGTATCTACCCTAGAGGCAACTATAATACACAGAGCTCTTTTACAGATGAGGAAATTCTCACTTAGAGTTGTTCTTGAGATAAAGAAATGTTGTTCACATTCATTAATCTTATAGTTCAAAAACAATTAACACAATCAATTAATTAAATATAATTAACAATGAACAAATAAACAAAAAACAGTGACTTGGTCTCAGTCAATTAAACGATAGTGGCAATGACCTCCCTTTAATTGGATAACAAGTTGTTATTCCCCACCATAAAAAGTGTTGTGGTCTAATTAAAAATTAAAACAAACAAACAAATAAATAAAAGTGTTGTGGTCCACATTCATTCTTCTACTTTTAATATATTGCCTCATTTCTTTTCTTCTCATTCAAGTCACCCATGTCTGCCTTTACAGTCCATATAATGCATCTTCATAAAATCACTTTTTACCCCCTCTTTTCCTATCTATTCTTTCCCAGTATTCTGTTACCATTTCCCATATTCCACCATTCATAATGAATATAATCCCCAGCACTGTTTATCTTCTCCATTCATTTAAACAGAATTTTCTCTCCAGCTGCCTATAGCTTTGGTGTCTTCTGTCTATGATCTGACATGAAATGACTTGAAATTTGTTGCCCCAGCATATTATACATTCTATATTTTATAGTTAAAATTTTAAACGAATATGAAATTGCATGATGGTACATTTGTCTTGCTAATATCAGGTATTGGAAAGACTACTTTATTTTTCTATTAAACAGATTTATATAGCTGCCCATGTGCCAAAGGAACTCTGGGTGGCAAAGAAAGATAAAAAGAACAACAAAAACAAATTATGACAACAATAACAACAATGGTGACGACAGAGCCATTCTCTTGTGTTCCATTTATTTGCATCCTAGAACTATTTGACTGACCATGGAAAGAATGATGGGCAGGAAGGGGCCCTTAATAAGATTTAGCAGGGCACTTATTTCCTTCATTTGATCATTCAAAATAGGAAGAACTATTATCAACAACAATATTGTACTTTTATTAGGTCTTTATCCATATTTTCTGTATGCCATATTGATAACTGGTATTCCTGTTATTTTAAAAATGCTCTTGTATTGTGGAAAGCTAAATGCCTACATGTAGCATTTTCTCATGTATTCTACTGACTCTAATCTTCAGAACTGTTTTCTCCAACAGTCATGACCTACACCAGATTTATGTCAATAAACAATCAGTTCACTCCATGGATACTCTTTCTGACAATTATTTTTTTCAAATAGACAAAATAATTCATACCAGGCTAGAGTTGAAATAATTTTGGTAACCCATCCTATGCATGTTTACTTAATCTTAATAGGATTTACTTCCCAATAAATGCATAACTATGTTAATTTTACTGTCTACCTAATGTGCCTAATCAACTATCACAGAACTCTCACATTTTAATAAATTAATTTAGATTACTTGGAAGCCAATTATACACCTGTTATATAATCATAACAAAAACTTGATTGATGTGTATTGGGAAAAATGTTAATTGTAAAATACTTGGGCATTTCTTTGATAGAAATTGGGTTCATTTTTTTTTTCAAAATTAGCAAACTGCTATGGCTATTCAAAACATTGGAAAACAATTCATTACCTCGAGCCCATTCCATCTATATGTACTTTGAAATCTTGTACATGTTCAGTAAGGTTTTCCTTTGCACAGTTTTCCTTTGTTGATCTTAGTTGGGAGGTCTCAGAAATTTATCCTGTTTAAATCCCATTTGGAATATTAAAATTGTACATGCATCTAGAATGTTAGAAATATACGAACAAATCAAATGAATGCTGGGCTGGCAATTATGTACACTGTCAGCTATTAATGATCTTGGTCCTTATGGAAATCACAGATACAATATTCCAGAACAAATGAGGCTACAAGTCAATAATACTTTCAGCCTTCAGTGTGTTTCCAAATTCAAATACTGCATAAGTTGGGAAAAACAATTTTGCTTTTTTTTTTTTTTGCAGAGAAGAAAAGATCTGTGGCCCAAATTACACTGCATTGCACCCCAAATGGAGCTTGGATACCCAATTATATGATAAGCAAAAAAGAAACTCAAGAACATGCATGGGGAATGTACATGGACGCCCCCCAGTGCTGTCATTATTCATGAGAAGAGATAATGTTCTCTCAGTTGTCCCCCACCGTACCTACTTCACACTCAGCATTAATGTATAAATTGTTAAATGGCTTCCAGAATTGTGTTAGTAAACCAGGAGTGGTTTAAAAGTTTGTGAATTGTCAGTTAATAAAAGTATTTGCTGTGGAAACAGATCCTATTAATAACTGTTGAGATTTCTCCACTTCTCTTAAGAACCACTTGTGCTTTAAAGGTTGGATGGTTACCCAGCAGACCATCTGAAAATACAAACTTAGATGTGCTCACCAGTGGCTAAAATGCAAATAGCAAAACACTGGGAAAAAAACTACCTTATCTTCAGTTTCGATTCTATAAATCAACTGAAAGGAAGATCTGAACAAAGAAAAAAATGTGGGATATAAAATATGATGCCCTGCTATCAACTGGTAATGATGCAAGGTATCACCTATCCTATGGAATGATCTTATATCTGTAATACATTTGGTCCCAACACTACTTTGTTTTACTGCCCAGAGTTGCTGAGAGTTGGGTGGTATATAAAACAAACACTTTTGTACTCTTAGAAAATTTATCTTTTAAAATTGGCTTTCCACAGCAGCTAAAATGCCTGTTAATATGGCTAGGTTTTTAAAATTGTATTGTATTGTTCTTAGAATTGTACATTGTAATTTTATAGGATATTTGCTGTGGATTTATATTGCTGAGAAGAAAGCAATGTAAAATGATTCTGATCCTGTGATAGTTTTGATCAATACAGGATAAATATACTTTTAATATTATTTTAGGCTAGGCAGTCACCAAAATAAAATACTTTGGCTTTGCCGTTCATACATTAATTAATTAATTAATTAATTAAGTTTTGATGCTGCCCAACTCCAACTGAATCTGGGAGTTTCACAGAATAAAGAACAACTTAAAAACAACAAAATACAATTAATTAAACCAGAACAATTACAAAATAACTACAAGATAATTACAAAGTAATTCTAAGATAGCAATCCAGACAACACAGCAAAGGATATAAAGGTATCATGAACATGGAAGTCCCATCCACCCTACCCTAATGCCTGGGAGAACATCCAGGTTTTCAAGGCTTTCTGGAGTGCCATCAGGGTAAAAGCCAAACAGATCTCAAGGGGGACCTTATACCAGAGGCCAGGTGCCACTACAAAGAAGGCACATTTCCTAGGTCCCAAACGATGACACTGTTTAATCAAGAGGAGTGCACCTACTCTGCTGGATGGTATAGGTCAGGCGGAAACCGTGGAAGACAGATGGTCCCTCAAATGACCAGGTCCTATGTCATGTGGGGCTTTATAGCTAGAAACCAGTGCCTTGAATCATCCCTGGAAGCACGCTGGCAACCAGGGCAGCTTACAGAGCAGAGGTGTCACATGGCCATGCCAAGGCAAGCCCATCACTGCTCACGCCGCTGCATTCTGGACCAGTTGAAGGTACCGAGTGGTCTTTAAGGGCAGACCTATGTAGAACACATTTTAATAGCTGAGCCAAGAAGTGAGAAAAGTGTGAGTGACTGGAGGGCTGTTGTTAGTTTCTCCCCATCCAAGCCTGCACAGCCTCCAGGCACTGGTTCAGAACTTCAGCAGCCTCACTTGGCCAGCCTGGGGTTGAAAGCTATAATTTTACCACATGATTTACTGTGATAATGAAGATTTTCTTTCAATGAGTGTTGCAACTTTTCAGTTTTATTACAAAGGCTAGGTAGATAACTTATGTGCAGACATTTCTTTTATCTCCTCTGCTTTGCCAAGCCACCTCCTCCTCTCAAGGACTTTCAGCATTTTCAGTGTTTAAGTCACATCTCAGCCTGATGGTCATAGAATCACAGAATCATAGGGTTGGAAGGGACCTTGGAGGTCTTCTAGTCCAACCCCCTGCCCAAGGCAGGAGTCCTTGGGCAGGGGGCT